CTATTGTAGGATACTGTTTTGTAGTTTACACCACGCTGAATAAGCTCAAAAAAACAACAAATGCAGCTGAAGACCCTTAATAGAGAAAACTTGTTTAAACGGGCTGCTTTCTGTGAACAAATTGTTGAATAAAAAGAACACCCTGGCAATGGGAAAGTTTTCTGCATTGCCAAGAGGTTCCATAAAAAGACCAGTTTATAGCATTAACCCATTCCCTATAGAAGCCAGAGCATACCACAGAGGATCACATGCTGCCTGGGAAGCAGCAGCACGGAGAGATGAAATACAGCAGCCAGAAAGGGCTCACAGAATCCAGGGCTCCTGTGTTTGCTCCCTGGGCAGCAGCTGGTGCAGAATGGTGCTGTGGGGATTCCAATAATGATGCCAGACCAAGCAGCTCTTTCTCTGGGGTGCAGACACAACACCTTCCAAACTGAGGGTAACACCAGGAATGTTGAGCAAACTCCCAGGCACACAGTAGGTGCCAAGGAAGGAGTAAAGAGAAATGCCAGATTTTTCCTCTCCCAGAGAAGGACAGAGAAGAAATGATTCTACAAGAGAGTTAGGAGAGACAGGAAGGAACCAAGACAAAAAATACTGCTGTAGCTTTTCCAGTATCAGAATGCTACACATAAGGTTCCAGCATCCTTATGCATCAACTGCAGAGTCCCAGGAGCAGCACGGATGATTTGGACTAATTACTTGATAATTTCTGCAGGTTTTTTGAGAGAGGCATTTGTCCCCTTTGCTCCTCCTGTGCAGACTGCAGGTCAGCTCTGATGCCAAGGAGAGCACTCTGCACAGGGTCTGTGGTTGCATTTTTGACAACAGAGCTGCTTACATCAATTTAAGGAATCCCTTGCTTCCTCGCCCATACTCTGCACCACCAGATATGCCAGCATGATGTCTGTGTAGCACATGGTGAATGAGACCAGAGAACTGATCCAGATAAAAAATAACTCCAGGAAAAAAAGATTTATTTTTCAGCTGGGTTGGTTCCTGCTCTGGGTCACTGCACAGCAGGGAGACTCGGGGATGAGAGCAAGTGTCTGTAAGCTGTCAGTCACTAAAGGTCCCCTCCATCACCCACCCTTTCTACCCCTCTGTGTAGTGGATTAGACTTCATTTTCTGTAGGACCTTTGCTTTCATCCCAAGTTTAGATTTCTATGCAGAGATGTGATTCAACCTACAAGAGTTTGAGAGCCTTCTTATTTCACGTAACAGCCTCGGAGTTTCAGGCTACATCTCACTGTGTGGCTTGCTGCAAGCACTCTCAGGGTCCCAAAAACTTACAAAATTTTTGGGGGGATTTGTACTATATGACCTTCAAAGGTCCTTTCCAATCCAATCTATTCTATGGTTATACCACCTGTAAATAGACTTGTCCATCTGTGTGCCACCATCCAGCAAAACTGTGTAAATCCAGTCACATCCAGTCACAGAAACCACAAAGATCTGTTATTAGCATGCTGCCCACTCCATACTTTGCTCTTTCCTTTTCAGATGGTTTTCTGGTCACAGGGATGCAGCAGCTCTGCTCCCAGCTCTGGGATTAGTGACTTTTGGGCAGTCAGCATGAGAGTCTGCCCTATTCTCTACAGCAGGCAGAAAAACACCTGGCAAGTCAGGCACCACCCTCTTACCAGGCTGCACAAGGCTTGTCTGCCTTGTATTCCAAGTGGAATAGTTTTAGCACCAACTGCTTCAGTACCAAAAGGTGTCATGGAATTTTAATGACCACAGATGGCCACAGCTTCTGTTTTATGTCTAATCTGAGCCCCCCTGCCCCCAAAGTACCACCACAGCAGCACTGTGCTCCCCTCGGGACAGGATGGGGAGAGGGTGGACTCAGGTGAGTGAGTGCTGCCAGTTCTACACCTCTGCTGCCTGTTCCTCAGCCTGGATATTCCTTACCTAATAGAGAACACATTGACTGTATGCAAATACGATGGAGTGGGGCAACAGAAAACTGTAGGTGAATGTCAAATAAAATACTTTTATCCACCTCCTCAACAACACTCCAAATCCATGTCCTCAGGGTCTTTGAGACACTTATTAGCTGGAACACCTTGTTTTTGTGCTGGATGATTAGATTCCCACATTTTTCCACAGGCGAAGGAAGCATGCCCAGATATAGTTCATAGCAACTGAGCAAATTCATTGTAAGTAGTGGCCAGATATTGGCAAGAAGAGACTTAAGAAAAGCTCATACTATTTTCTCATTTAAGTATATAGGAAAATGGATCCTCCTATCCAGCTGTGAGCTTTTGCAGAATACACCCCGGAGTACAGCTGATGGATGTGCCTCCCACAGCCCATAGGGTTTGATGCTGTTCCAAGCATGCTTCATGGGGAGTATTCCATTCAAAATAATTATCAACTTGAATAGAGTAAGTACCAATCTATGCAAACCCACTTTGTCTGCTGCCTGGGAAGGGATTACAAAGCACATTTGGCTATTGTGTGCATGCTTGTAAATTTTAAAGTGCTGGGTGAGATCTATGAGTCTGGAGAGCATCAGAGGATCTTGAGAGCACTAAGGAAATGTGGAACCCAAATCTTTCTACTTCCTCCTCCCAAAGGAGACCCAGACTGTATTCAGTAAAAGTCACCACAGCTTCAGTAACTCCTTATAAATCTTACACTAACTTCAGATTTAGGGAACCCACACAGGAAAAACCTGCTCCCAAACTCTCATCTCCCATCCTGGTTACATTAATTTCTCTTTGTGGTCCTTCCCTGACACCCACAATGCCCCACCTTCACTCAAGACAGATCAGAGTAGTGCAGATCTGACACAGCATTGCCACCACGTTGCTCCCTCTCAGTCTCTTCACTGTGGCACCCTTTCCATCACACCACACAGCAGGGCTTTCAGGCTCCTCACTAGCCCTGCTCTTTTTTGTTCTCCCAAGAAATCTTCTGTTCCACTGCCAATGGGATGGAGCTATCCACTTTGCTTCTCTAGTTGCTTATTTTCCTCGCTGGCCTTGCACTTCCAGCAATTGTCTCCTTGTTCCCCTGTGCAATGCCTCCCCTCAGCACAGGCTTGCCTCTGAAGGTCTACACGATACCACCTCATTTACACTCCTTCTGGATACCAGTGTCCTTTACAGTGACCATAATAATCTGCCTAAATTAGTCCCAGGCTTCTATTCTTCACTTTTCCTTAGATTTTCCTTAAGAGAATCAGGACATCGGTTTTTGAAGTGCATCTCAGTTTTAAAGACCCTGAAGGCCGATGAGACAACCTATGTGTAATTTAAGTCCACAACAGACTCTCTGAAGATACAGCAGGTTAGAAAATTCCCCACTGTGCTCTGAACACGCAGCCAGCTGAGGTGCAAGTACAGATTCCTCACATGTGACTTGAGGTCTGCAGTCTGGGCCACAGTTTCGAGACTTGGGCTGTGGTTTGATTATAAAATAAATCTGACTGTGATTCCCAGTATTAGATCGAAAATGCCACAGACATATGACATGAAGCATGGATCTAGCACTCCATCGAGTTAAACATATTTGGAAAATTTAGACAAGTCAGTTTTTCATGGTAAAGTGCTGTAGTAGACCAGGTCCTACACCACCCTACTGTCCTGCCAAATCAGGTATATACTGTCTACCACAAGTAGCCTGAAGCTGACATAACAGCATAAAGTTGCATACAGTCTGTGTTGTGTGATCAGACTAGTTTGACAGAAATGCAGTTGTGTGTACAAGACTGATCCAGGTTAAACAGGGACTGCTGGGTGATCTGTCAGTGCCCAGATGCACAGTGCAGGTAAAACTAGAGCCTCAGAGTATTGTGGGGTTCTTTCTTGCAGAACAAGGAAAAAATGTTGTTTGCAGCTGCATAGCTAATCCTGCTGCAAAAACTGATGCAAAAAGGGTTTGTGTGGGCTGCAGGCAACTTTGAGTCTCCAATAAGGATATGGAAGATGGCAGCTGTTAACGCTGCCAAACCTCTTTCTGAGATGAAAACTCTTTGCAGGGAAAAAGACTGGCTGCTCTAAAGCACATCACATATTGTGAGTGAAACTGTGCTGCCTGTAACAGAAACACATTGGTAACCAGCCACAAACACAGCCAAGGGTGAGAGTAAATAAGCCCTGCACCAGGAAACAAGCACAGGCAGCAGGAGGTGATGCATTTTAAGTATGGGAAGGTGAGGGGGATGTGGTGCCTGGAGCAAGGGGCATCGGGGTGGGATGGGGCAGCTGGAGGAAATGGGGCAGCCAAGGGGAATGGGCACTCAGCTAGGGCGAGATACCTGGGATTATGGGGCTTCAGGGCGGGATGGAGCACTCGGGAGGAATGGGAGTGCCCAGAGGGGATGGACTGACCCTTCTCCATCCTCTGCAGACGGGCAGAGGGCTCCAGAGCTGCAGAGACAGCATTTGTGTCTGCAGAGAAAGGAAGGGGTTAACTGGATTCGGGTAGCCCCCTCTCTGCTGAACTCATTGATTCATTTTCTCTGTTCCTATTTCTTTCTCTCACTTTCTTCTTCTCTCTCTTGCAGACTGATTAAAAACTCTTTGAGTTTGAAGGTTTTTGTGTCAAAACAGCTCAGATGCCAGCTGGGTGCCAAGCAGTGAATATTCATGGTATTTAAATGTGACAGTGCGGTGGGGGCTAAAGGACGGGCTAGTTAGCTCTTTTTAGATGGAGATTAGCTGCCTCTTTGCTCCTAATCACCACTGTTGTTGAAATATTACAGCTTCTGTTACAACTATTAATGTCCTAAATGAAGAACAGGCTCCTCTGAATAACATCAAACACGAAATGGTCACTTCCAATTTTAGCCTGTTTCTCTCCTCTTTGCTAATGTGTGTTTTCGTTTCTAACTGGGGACCTGCCTTGGTACCATACGGTTCAGCTTCAAACCCTGCAGGAGAGGAGCGAGCCTGGCTCCAGGGAGCTGCGGAAAATAGAAGGAGTATTCCACTCTCAAGTGAGATCAGCATCAAGAGAGGTCAATAGCTGGACAGAGGTTGTTATTTACCTCATGATGGCTGCTTGGAGTCAGGAGTGGGTAACTATCTGCAAGTCAATCCTACACGGACAAGCGTTCAGAATCTGCTACTCCAGGTGAAGCCCCTGTTCCCTGCACAGGATGGAGACAAGTAAGTTATTTTCCTGCACCGAGTAAGCATCCAGACAAGCGTGAGCTGAGGCCCACCACTGGAGTGATGGGATGGAGGGCACAGTGCTCCATTGCTCTCTGGGCTGGTGTTTGCCAGGTCAAACTGAAAAGCACAGCCCTGGGTTCCACCTGGAGCATTACAAACGGTGAGGTAAGCCAACAGGCTCCTATTTGAGCTTCGCTCAGATAAAACTCCCACTAAAGTAAGAAGCTGGATAAAATCTGTGACAGGGTGGTGTGAGTTGGTCCTTTCATGGCAATATCTGGAGGGAAGCCTGATGGAAAATACTTTGCAGCAAAAACTGCCCAGATGTCCAGTGCGTGTTTGGGCATTTGGAACCTCTCCGCATTCATCCACAAGAACTGCCTGCCGTTATCCGGGAGCACGCCTGGCAGGGTGACGAAGAGGAGGGAAAACCCATGTGTGGTCCTTAAGCTCTGGCAAGAAATAGCAGAGCAGAACACCAGGCTATTGATTTCATGTTTGCTTTAAAAACAACCTAAGTGCATTCCTGGAGCAAGGCTGGTCTGGAAGCCTAAATAAAATAATATTCTTCAGCCTTGAAAACTGACACTAGACTTCAATGAATGCTTTAAAGTCCTGTCCCCCAGACTAAGACCTGTACATTTCCTAAGCTCTTGTCTACACACAAAAATGGTGCTACTTTAACTAAACCAGTGTACCTAAGGCAACATATCTCTCCCCTCTTCCATCCCTTTCTCTTCCTTGTGTGAAAACTGCTAAAAAACACCCTTATTTGACAAAACCTTCCTTATTGGAAGTAGATATGCTTTTACCAATGTGAGACTTATTACTGTCAGCACATCTGAGTAGGACTAGTGATAGCATTATTATTTTGGTAGCAAAAAATCACATCCATAAACAGCATACTTAGACTGTCTTAGAAGGGATGCACAGAGCAAACCTATGGAAAAGGGCAAGCAGAATGAGTCTAATGCATCTTCCTGCTGACAGGACTCATGTGCTGCACTCTATAGAGTGCAAATGATCCCATCTGAGATAGTCAGGGACTTCTCTGACTCTCACAATGCTGTACAATAGCTGGTTAAAACATGTGCACATTATTTCCAATGCACAAGTAGCACCACAGAATTTGGACCTTCTACAGCATAAGCAGAGCAACAGAAACTGCATGTTAGCTAAGTTCACTAGAAAACAAGCAAAGAAAACCCCCTAACAACCAAACAGAAACCACAATGCATTCACAGATACAAATAATAGATTTGCACTGGTCTGTCAGAAATGCTAATTTCCATGGATAGTATCAGAAATATGTGGGTGTGGCCCTTTGAAATTCTTGCCTCTCAAGGCAAATTGCATTGGCTAGCACTGGGCTCCTAAGGAAGAAGAAAAAAAATAGGATATACATATACTCCCTTCTGGTAGAACATCGGGACTATAGATTTTGGCAGATTGCACTGGATGTTCAAGATGCTTATGAGCAATGCAGTTTTTCAGGAACTGCAGTTGTACAGGAAAACCAATATGACTTCTCATTGGTACCTTTGTAAAGGCAGCCTGGTAATAAGAATATTATAAGATTATAAGAAGAATAATCATCATCATCAAACTTCTAACCTCTGTCTTGATACTATCAGGATTTTCCTGCATCAATCCTATTTTCCACTCAGGCTAAAAAACTTCATAAGTTTATTCTAAATGCTGTATTTAAAGCTTCAGTTCTAATATCCTCAGTAATAGTATCAAAGCCTTCAGGTGTCTTACCCACTGAAGTTAGGATGACCTGAATTGCAATAGATTTTTCCTTCAACAGTGGTTGTTTCATTCATTCTAAGTAAATCAGATGGCACTCAGTACATATTTCTGGAGGAAGAAAAAACTAAAGACAGATGGATGTGGTTCCCAGCAGGCAGCAGTTTGAAAACATGGCACCAAATACATCAATAGTCGCAGTCTGTTCTTTGACATATCGGAGTGCCTCTTGTCTTCCTCAGGTAATTTTCTTCAAAAGTGTTCAACCCTGATAAATTCTGAGCCCCAGAGTTGTATGAAATGGGAATAATCACAATGCAGGCATAACTGAGGCATAGCAGTTCAGTCAGAAATGCAAGAATCCCCCCAATGCACTAATGCTGGTGAAAAATCAGCATGCAGGCAGTGTTAGTCAGCAAAAATGAAAGTACTGGCAACCTGACAAAGTTCTTCTGGAACAGCTCCTCCTTGCTGCGGGGTGGAAACTCCATGCTAAGGGGTTGGGCAGCATCACAGAGGTGTGGGCATCCAAAGCTCCCTGTTCCCAAGAGGAGCAAGCATGCTCATTAGCTAAACTACAGCAGGACAGGAAAATAGAGGAGCAGTTCTCCAGGCCAAAAACAGACTTGTCAAACATGCATCACATTCCAGCATTCCCACTTATTAGACAGGGACCAGAAACACGATGATAACCTACACTGTCAAATTCCTAATACCTTTCCTTTCTGACACCATTGATCACAGAGAAAAAAATATCCAACTCAGATCAACTGTCCTGACTCCCAGCAACCCCACAGGAAGAAAGGAGACAGAGCAGTAGGCACTACTTCTCTTGGTTGCAAGTGTCTGAAGGCATCCTCTTTCCTTCATAATTGTGTTCTCTTAATCAAGGGTTGCTTATGCTGTTAAGGAGTAGTGATTTCTCAGCTACTGACTGTGAGCAGAATGAACTGAACAGGGATGTCCACATCTTCCTTTCACTTTAGTGATGTAATCTCCTCTCTCCCCACTTTCTAGTTCACCCAAGCCTCACAGATGCCTTCTTCTGCTTGATTACAATTTACATCTTCCCTCTCTCCCCTCCATCTGTCCTTGCTCTTCAAGACTTAAACTGCTGACCCCATGCCCGCCCGGTTCAGTGCCTTCCCCTTCCTGCTCCATAGCTCCCTTTGTGTCCTTTCAGCAATTCTGTCTTTATCATGCTGATCTCCCCTCCTCAACACAGTGCCAAAAAGCCTTCCCCAGCTCCTCCAGGGGCACCACTCTTTAAAGCAATCCCTTCTCATCACCAGTATCTCTCCTTTATCACACGCCTCAGTTCACCTGCCTGAATTGATAAGTGCAGACAAGTCTGCAGACCAACATCCAAATTTGATTTATGAAATGATTGATAATGAGGATTTTTGTGCATGGATGTATATTACAACAGACCTTCACAATTGTGAAATTGTGTCAGGTCCCCGCTGTCTCCTGGTGGCCCAGGTAACAAAGGCTAAAAAAGGCTTACAAAGCCTTTCATGTCCAGTTTGGTGAGGAGGTGTTAGGAGTAGATGTGTTTCTTTCTACTCTGAAGTTTGCTTCAGACGGGGTATTTGCCCTGCACACTCTGAGTCCACAGGCTGTTGGCTGAACCAAAACCCAGTTTATCTGGGAGAACTCACACGGAGGTCCCTGAACTCATGAGGACCATAGTGCTCCTGCACTGGCCAAACTGCAATGGGCTCTGAGGAGTGTGTCAAGATTAATCTCATTAAGTCCTATTTGATTCAGACCTCGCTATCTCTGAAACTGTCTCCTTTCTTTTCCAACTTCCAGAAGTAAAAAACTGTGTGACTTTGCTAGCAACTGCTGGACTACTTTAACATCTGACTGATGCAAGTTAAAGCAAGGACTGAGGGCTGCTCATACAGGAAAGATTCCAATGAGAAAAGCTGGAGGTAACCAATGTCCCCCTAAAAATGAGAGCAGACTGAGAACAGGTGGTAAAAATACAAGCAGCTCTCCCCTTCACCCACAGCTCAAAGTGTCCAATTGCCTCTATCCCGGCCTTATACCTTCTCCTTGTGCATCTCCAATGTCCCTGCTTCCAAGAATGTTGCTCCAAAGTGACCTACTTTTCATGTACTCATTTTTTGAAGTATTTACATGAGAAATCAGAGGATTGAGGCTACACAAATGAATGTTTCTGATCATTCACCTCTACCATGTTTTAATTTTCTTGCCTTAATCACCTTGTGCATATCTCCTGTTGGCTGTCTGGCACACACCCTGGCACATCACAGACAAGGGAATGCTCCTTCACTTAGAGCTTACCTGAGAGACCTGAAAGGACTTTTTTATGTCAGAGAACATGAGATCTGCACTTTTATCTAGTACATTTGCCCATAAAAACAAGGTTATGTTATGTCTCATACCCAAAAGCCCACCTCGGTGGCCCATGGCAGAAGGCACAGCAATGACAGAGGTGACAGACCTCCCTTGACAGCTGCTTGTTTGCTGACTCTGATAGTGTCTGTCTGCTCTCCCCTGTGCACACACCCTCAAGCACAGACCTTCCCACCAAGCCAATGTCCAGCTCCATCTTCATTTTCCAGTCTGCGTTTTCCTATTACTCATTCTTTCTTTCTGTCAATCAGGTCATTGTCTGGTTACTTTCTAAATTTATTATTTCCATTTTTAACAGAGATTATATCCAGTTATGGATTTGTTCATTAAAATTCCCTGCATTTGCAGGAGGGCCAATCAGCTTCTCAAGGCATTGCCTCACTGATAATCTGGCAAGCAGCATCAAGCACAAGGAGGAAACTGAATAGAGCCTCTGGATTCTTTTCACAAAATTAAGGGCTGGCTTTTCTCCAGAGAAAAGCAATGTCTCCACATGTCCCCTCTGCCACTTGGACCCACCACTGGGCTCTGCAAAGAGAAGCTCTGAGTGAAGCAGCCCTGCTAGCAAAGGGCTAGTAATGGCACAGTCCCTTAAAGCAGTCCCAGCTTCAGGATCTAAACCATGGACAGTATTAATTACCCAGCAAGCAGCTTGTTAGAAACTGTATTGGCACACAGATAAGGGGAACTGTAATCGAATCAGCCAATTAACCAGCCGATGGTGCTGAACTAAATGTGACCCCATCGTTAATTGTGGTTGTTTCTCAGCAGTTTTCTCATCACATCGGGTGCTCAGGAGAGGGGAGAAAGAAGGCTTATCCAGGTGCTTAATTTATTTCTG